AATATTGGCCAGTTTCCAAGAGGAAATGTTACTCCCTTCGGTCCAAAATAAGTGATTTTTTTGATGTTTTCACACAGATTAAGAAATTCAGCTTTTAACATTAATTAGCAATAGAATTGACCATATTAACCTTTACTATCTCACATAAACACTCCTAACACATATTCCAACACTATTTACTCCAAGGACAATGTAGGAAAAAAATAACTAATTCATTCTTGAAATTTGAAAAAATCACTTATTTTGGATCACAGGAAAAAGGCCAAAAAATCACTTATTTTGGACCGGAGGGAGTACAAAATAATTAGTTACAATTAGACTATAAAAAGAATTCTATAAATTAAAGATTCCCTACATATGCATTACCAATCTACTTTACGTCTTACATAAAGATTGATTGGCCATAAATGATAAAACCAAAAGAATAATTATCCAAGATGGATAATACTATATTTACTACTACATATACTCATATGAGTGTATATAAGAAACATCCCAAATAGGAGATAAAACAAAACAGATATTCAATGGAATAGAAGAATTGCACAAATATAATAGGATCATCGTGCCCCCTCCCTGACTGACTTATTTGTCCTATGCCCCTCAATTATCATATGTCCTGCATATATTTGAATCCTGTGGATCCAGTGAATTTGCCTCCTCTATTTCTCATTTATTGATCTCCATTGCCAAATCATAATATTACTTTTTTTTTTTAACCCTCCCAGGTGACTCGAGGGAACATAATAGAGGATAGTCTAGGTCGATTCTTAGATGGATCTCTTTCCATATAGATAGGCATCTCCGTGTATAAGAATAAAGACAGGGATCCATCCATCTATAGATCTTTTACGTAGATTTACGCATGCAATTATTCAAGATTTTTGACTGAACACCCATAACTAAATTTCATTTAACTCTTCTTTCGGAACTTTTATCGGCGAATATTCGTGACTTTAAAAATTTTAGATCTGCCACTATATTCCAAGGACAAGCTGGGCATAGATTCTTTAGCAGTCCAAGAGACTGGTAGGTGTGTGATAATCAATTGGAGTAAACTTTAACTTTCACCACTGACAAATGAATTGTCGTTATAGTCATCATTAATGCTTTCACCATTTCCAGAAGCTAACTAGGTAGCTATATATATTGTAAGGTTACAGCTGTGTAAAACTCAGGACTTTCCCTACTTTATGGAACATGGTACTGCTCAACTATGTTGACACCACGATTCGACACTTTTGGCTTCTTTCTGCCTCTTAGTGTCGAAAATTTGGTAAAAATCTAACCAAAGGTACAACTATGGACCCCAAACAGAAGGACGCTAAATTGGAAGTTTATTACTACTATCTTTAGAACCTAGTACAGGACCTACCCTCTATTATAGATGAGTCCGGAACCAAAATGTTGTTATTTTGGATTCAAAAGACACAAATAAGTGTAAAAAAAAAAGGTAACCATAATATATAAAACGCCAGAAAACCTGGCGCTATATAATAACGGTAACTTCACCGTTAATATATAGCGCCAGGTTTTCTAGCGTTATATACTGACACAGTGATATAGCGCCAAAAAACCTGGTGTTATACCCCTTAATAAAAAAACTCTCCATCTTCTTCACCCGTCGCCTTCCTTCTTCAAATATTTTACTCCCACCCTTGGTCCCCCCACTGTAAACTGTCCGCCAATATAAAAAAAAAAAAATTGGGTCCCCCCGGCACATAAAACTTGAAGATCGTAGGTCCCACACTCGAGTAGAGCTTCTTGTTATTGTTGGTTAACGCTTTCGGAGTCAAAATTTCGATCTATTTGATTTTCGAAAATTCTAAATCGAGGTATTTCGATTTATTTTAAGTTGAAACTTTTATAATAATGCATATTATTTGATTTGTATGTGTTCTATTTCGGTTTGTGTTTTTTTTTCGAAATTAGCATCTTAAATTTATCCGGATTTAATTTTAGTGTTTTATATAAAAATATAAATTTGTCAAATAAATTTGTCTGTTAATATTCTCATTTATATATATATGCTTTCATGCCGTTTTGTGTTTTATTTGCAATTAAATTTATTTGTTGTTTATGTTTAGTTTAGATTATTTTTTAGCGTAGTAAAATCTAGACCTTTTTAGCGTAGTAAAACATAGACCCTTTTAGCGTAGTAAAATTTAGAGCCTTGTAGCGTAGTAATGTGTAGTATTTTAGCTTAGAATTCCTTTCGTTTTAGTATCTTATACTGGTATTTCGATCCTCAAAATATGGAGCCCGGAACTTATATATATATATATATAAAATTTATACAATTAAGTTATTAAAAAATATAAATTTCAATTATAAAAAAAAACATATAGCCACTGGGCCTCAAAAATATCGAGCCCGGAAGACATACGTAAGTAATTTGTACAATTAAATTATTAAAAAATATGAATTTAAATTATAAAAAAAAAAACATAACTATTAATGATAGTTTGGTGCCACTGGGCCTCAAAAATATCGAGCCCGGAACCCATACGTAAGTAATTTGTACAATTAAGTTATTAAAAAATATGAATTTAAATTATAAAAAAAAATATATAACTATTAATGATAGTTTGGTGCCACTGGGCCTCAAAATATCGAGCCCGGAACCCATGGGTAAGTAATTTGTACAATTAAGTTATTAAAAAATATGAATTTCAATTATAAAAATATATATATATATATATATATATATAAAACTATTAATGATAGTTTGGTGGCACTGGGCCTCAAAAATATCGAGCCCGGAACCCATACGTAAGTAATTTATACAATTAAGTTATTAAAAACAATGAATTTAAATTATAAAAAAAACATAATTATTAATGATAGTTTGGTGTCACTGGGCCTCAAAATATCGAGCCCGGAACCCATACGTAAGTAATTTGTACAATTAAGTTATTAAAAAATATGAATTTAAATTATAAAAAAATACATAATTATTAATGATAATTTGTACAATTAAGTTATTAAAAAATATGAATTTAAATTATAAAAAAAAATATATAACTATTAATGATAGTTTGGTGCCACTGGGCCTCAAAATATCGAGCCCGGAACCCATGGGTAAGTAATTTGTACAATTAAGTTATTAAAAAATATGAATTTCAATTATAAAAAAATATATATATAGCCACTGGGCCTCAAAATATCGAGCCCGGAACTCATACGTAAGTAATTTGTACAATTAAGTTATTAAAAAATATGAATTTAAATTATAAAAAAAGTACATAATTATTAATGATAATTTGTACAATTAAGTTATTAAAAATTATGATTTTACAGTTGACGACATGGATGCGCCTATACATCCCGGCCCTCGGACGTCAGATCTATTAGCCCTACAGCCCCAGCATAGATCCGAGTATATCTGGGAGGGACAGTTGCTTACAACGACTTTCCGGGCCAGGAGAGTGGATCTACTATGGGAGTTTTTGAGTCCTCCCAGCGTGGTCCATCACCTGGAGGAGATGGGATTTTATAGGATTATTAGGATTGGTCGGATACAGCTCGACTATGCTTTGATCACGGCCATGATTGAGCGGTGGCGACCGGAGACGCACACTTTCCATCTGCCCATTGGCGAGGCCACCATTACACTCCAGGACGCAGAGATTTTATATGGCCTGTCCGCTGATGGCTTGCCTGTTTTACTCCCTGCGACCATGAGATATTATCCGCGGGAGGCATATTGGGATATGCTGCACATGCTCACTGGTTTCATGCCGGAGGACCAGGAGGTAGCGTCTGGGGTCAGTCGCATACAGTTAGTCCCCATTAGAGACCACCTGGTGCAGCTCCACGATACTATCACCGACGAGTCAGCGGAGGTGGATGTGCAGCGATACACGAGGCTGTTGCTGCTCCTTCTATTTGGGGGGGTCTTGTTCCCGAACACTTCGGGGAACCTAGTGAGCCTCCGTTTTCTGCATCATATCACCCGGTTCGAGGATACAGCCAGCTACAGCTGGGGTGGTGCTGTCCTCTCATTTTTGTACAGGCAGATGTGTCGGGCTTCCATGGGCACACAGAGAGACGTTTGTGGCTTCCTGCCGCTTCTACAGGTGACAACATATTCAACGAATATGTCCGTTAGTTACAATTCTACCTAGTTATAGTTTATCTGACACTATACATCAACTTTCTATGTTAGGTTTGGGTCTGGGAGCGATTTCTGCAGCTTCGGCCACCTCTACCACAGCTACCGGCTAATGTAGACATTCCGAATCTCCCTCTAGCTTGTAGGTGGGTTATGCGTCGTAGACTTGCACGAGAGTATGATGCCCATCATAATCTCCCCCGCATCAGGGATGTGCTGGATTTGCTGGAGGACGCACAGGTGAATATCTAACTAAACGTACCAGTTATTGTTTAATTTAGTGTTGCGCATACTAACGGTTTGTGTTGTTATTTGATAGTTCATTTGGACGCCGTACAGCGAGGAGGTGATAGGTACCCTGCCAGCGTATTGTACGTTCGGCCGACATATTTGGAGGGCTTCTGTCCCTCTCACATGCCTCGATAGTATGGAGCATCATGCCTCAGAGCGGGTTTTTCGTCAGTTTGGCCTGCCGCAGCCTATACGGACTCCGCCTGCATGGCATCCTTTACATTATGAGAGGGATGATCGGTCCAGGGTGGACGACACATTTATTGACTGGCTTAACGCCCAGCTGGCTATTTGGGACAGGCGAGGTGACTTAAACCCACCTCCGCAGCACTTTCCTATTGAAGGTTATATGGCATGGTACCGCACTATTTCCCGACTTTTTATCGGGACCCAGTTCATCAGCCAGAAGGTCGGTACGTCTCATACGCCGGGAGACACGAGGCTCTGGTATGTTTTCTGTTATAATTAATTATATACCTGTAATTTCGTGCCAAATACGTAGTTTACATTCTTTACTTTTGTGCAGGCGATTGGATTGCATACCGTCTATCGTATGGGGCAGCAGATGCAGAGTTATGTCCACGATCCTGTGGTCATGCAGGACTATAGTCGTCGATTCATGGATGTGGCTGCCCAGACACTGCATCGAGCCCGATCGGATCAGCGTTTGGCACACGAGGCTGATTATATTGACCCAGCCACGTACCAGCGAGGTCGTGGTATCCCACGAGGTGGTGGTGCCCGACGACCTGCTGGTGCCCGACGACCTCGTGCTGCCCGAGGAGGTGGTGTTCAGCAGGGGGGCGATGATGCTCCTGATGATGATGTTGCTGCTGATATGGCAGGTGGCATGCATGAGACTGACATGCCGTCTTACAGCCTTGGAATTTTTGACACTCCAGTGCCATCACAGATGACCCCATCGGGTCAACTATTGATCACGGGCTCGGATTTTCAAGGAGCGGATTGGGGTAGATATTTCCCTGGCCCGTCTACCACTGATGAGGGTCGACCGACCCGAGATTTATTTAGTGGGCGCCGACTGAGTTATGGCAGCTCTTCACATGCGCAGGTATGAGTTTATTAGTATTGAATTTGAATTTGTTTTAACTATAACTTATTTATTTTTTTACACTATATTAATTTCCTTTTTCAGGCTTCATGTGATGCTGCGACAGATGACTACATTCAGGATCCAGACACGATAATATAAATTATTATGAATTATTATGTAGTTTTCTAAACTAAGTTTTATATTATTATGTATCCTTCTACTGGACCTGACAGCACCACCGATACATGTCATCCTGCGCCGCATCCGGCTATAAGGAGAAAACTTGATGATGATGATCCTGATAGCGTACCCGGGCGGGAGGGGATGCGCCTCAGGCCGACGGCTACATTGAGACACACCGGATGCGGGACACATTGAGTCGGCCTTCCTTTTTTTTTTATTTGGTGTAAATAATATTTTTGTATATATTAACAACAATATTTAATCGAATATGTCCATTACTTTTTTTAGTTCTCCATGTGTTTTATTGTTTCGTATAACAACACAAGCACTTAAACTTAAATGCCACTTCAATTAAAATAAATTTTAGTACAACAAACACGGAAAACATTAGTACAACACAAACACAAACATAACATGCCAACATAATAAAAATACATGAAATATGAAAAATACACTAAACACATACAGGCCATTGTTTAGTCCCGGCTGTCATTTATTCTCCGCTCCAACCACTTAAATCGTTGTTCCATTTGTTCTTTTTCTTCTTCTAACTCTTTCACTCTCGCCTTCACCTCCGCAAGTTCCCGTTTATATTTTTTTTTACGTTCCTTCTGTGCTTTACAATTCCATTATGCTCTCCATTTTTCATCTCCTACCTCCTTCAGTTTCTCCCTCATTTCTGTAATAATTCTATCCCTTTCTCTTTGTACTCCCAGTTGGCATAACCACATATTATGAAGAGATTGCAGTTGTTCTCTGTAGCATTCCTGATAACATGGTTCATTAACCCATTCATCAAACTCACACATAGGTTCACCGGGAACCTTGTACAACTAGTTCATACAGTGTCAGTAGCGGCGTCCAACATCACGACCTTCCCAACAACTTTTCATCATGCATTCTTTTCCACAGTAGCACATTGGTGGACGAAGAGGTTGAGCCATTTGTGAAATGTTTCCTTTTAGTAAAAAAAAATCTTTCTTTTAAAGAAATATTTGCGTTTAGTAAATTTTGAGCACACAAAATGACTACAATGAGCCCGTTATTTATAGGCGAGAGAACACACACATAACGCCAGGTATAATGGCGCTATATTTTGCGTGTTAAATATCATGATGTTGACAAGACTACTTTATGTCAGCTGGTCAACTTTTTCAGTTCGACAAGACAACACACACATAACGCCAGGTATAATGGCGCTTAATAATTTTGTACNTCAGCTTTTTCAGTTCGACAAGACAACACACACATAACGCCAGGTATAATGGCGCTATATTTAGCGTGTTAAATATCATGATGTTGACAAGACTACTTTATGTCAACTGGTCAGCTTTATATTTAGCGTGTTAAATATCATGATGTTGACAAGACTACTTTATGTCAGCTGATCAGCTTTTTCAGTTCGACAAGACAACACACACATAACGCCAGGTATAATGGCGTTATATTTAGCGTGTTACATATCATGATGTTGACAAGACTACTTTATGTCAGCTGGTCAGCTTTTTCAGTTCGACAAGACAACACACACATAACGCCAGGCATAATGGCGCTATATTTAGCGTGTTAAATATCATGATGTTGAGAAAACTACTTTATGTCAGCTGATCAGCTTTTCCAGTTCGACAAGACAACACACACATAACGCCAGGTATAATGGCGCTATATTTAGCGTGTTAAATATCATGATGTTAATAAGACTACTTTATGTCAGCTGGTCAGCTTTTTCAGTTCGACAAGACAACACACACATACTAAATGGAAATTCGTGTTACATTTAAATATTCCTAGAGGAAAAATAACGAAAAAGAAAAAAAGGTGAAATAAGTGGACCGATATTTCTTCCATTATCTAGAATCAAACCAAATATTGTGAAAGTTGAATTATGTTAATGTCAAAGCATCTTTATTTTTCTTATATATAGAAGAGTGGTAATGTGCTGGACTTGGAAAAAAATTATTTTATTACAAGCATAATTTTATTTCATAAATCAGGCAACATACACATATTAACTAATTATTACAACATTAACTCATGGGTAGTTAGGTACACTAGAAGAACACCCACCCCGAGCTTGATTACTGTTGCCACCCAAAGGACATTTTCTACGGTCGTGTCCTGTTTGCGAGCATATACCACATTTTCGCGCATAAATTGTATCACTAACATCCATTTGGTTCCGTATACGCGTTCTCTTCTGCACCTGTATTTTACGCAAATAGGACTTGTTACACACCATTTTAAATGGTTTAGGAGGCCAATAATGCTCAGCACCCAGTGGCTGCAACTGACCACTATATGTGTTTAGGTACTTGGAAACACTATATTATCGATCAACATAGTTGCTTGCACCTAAACCAACTTGTTGAAAGCACTTGATGGCATGTGAGCAAGGCATGTGGTAGATGGACCATTTTCCACAAGAGCATAACCTTGCATATTCATTTACAGTATGCACATTATTACCCCGATTTTGATGGATAGCGGTGCGAACTTCAAAAACATTTCTTTCATTATCATACTGCAAAAATAAATGCCAATGTGCTCGTCGTCTGTATTTCTCAAATCTCGTCATCGGCACTGGCATAAATTCAACACCCCTTTCCATCAATGACGTTGCAGCCGCAGACCTTTCAACGAACCTCTCCGCCATTTGCTTGAACGACATCCACACCATGGCTGTGATAGGCAATCCTCTTGCCGACTTCAATAACCCGTTGAAAGACTCTGACACATTTGTAGTCAGAGTTCCCCATCGTCTGCCACCATCCGCATGCAAAGTCCACTTTTCAGGGTCATGTCGCATTAACCAAGAGTTAAAAAAAATTTTGAATGCATTTCTATGCGATTCTAACCTCTTTATATAGAAAATGGAGAGCCGAGAAGTTTTTTTTTTACATATATAGCGCCAAATAAGTTGGCACTATATTATTTTGAATTATTGTACTCTAAATAATACTTGGGTCAGGAAAAAAAGGATATAACGCCAGGTTTTCTGGCGCTATATCACTGTGTCAGTGTATAACGCCAGAAAACCTGGCGCTATATTACTCTGACAGTGTATAACGCCAGAAAACCTGGCGCTATATAATAACGGTGCAGTTACCGTTATTATATAGCGCCAGGTTTTCTGGTGTTATATATATTATTGTTACCTTTTTTTTTTACACTTATTTGCATCTTTTGAGTCCAAAATAGCAACATTTTGGTTCCGGGCTCAACCATTTCTCACATGTACTGGTGTATCAAGTACTTTTACATATCTTGAACTGAAGTTGGCAACTTGGCATGTAGTACAACTTGGGTCTCATTTGTTTTATAATGGAGGTCTAAATCTTACTACTTATTTCTCATACATTAAATGTATTATTTTTAAAGTCTGAATCTTAATCATTAAATATGTTTGCTTTTTTATTTCACTACCACTTAATGAGTTTGAATAGGTCTGTATGATTAAAATCTATAACAAAGACTTAATTTCATTAAGATGCTATCATCCACATTCATTATTAATTATCGTCACCGCCTATTATTATCAACTACTACCATGCCACCCACCACCACCATACTCAATCATAGCTGTCACCATTATCGACAACTACCACCCATCATCCCTACTACCCCCACCACCATCATTCTTAACCACAATCACAAACTCATCCACTTTAACTACCACAACTAACCACCATATCACCATCAACAACCATAGCCGGCACTGCCCACCATTATAAACTACCACTATATTCCTCAATCACGACAACCACCACCACCAGTGCTAGTTATTACCACCCACACCAACATCCTCAACCATAATCGCTATCACTGACAATTACCACTAGCTACTACCAAAACCACCACCAACCGTCGCCTCTAGTAGGCATTCACAAGCACCACCGTTAGTCATCACCACCACTAACTACCATATTTTAATATATATATATATATATATATATATATATATATATATTATTGATAGAATATTAGATTAATTAATATTTTATTTGATTTTTGTGTTTATTAATTTTCAAAAAAGATAAATTTTGTACATTCAGATGTTAAACTGTCTTAATCATTCAGTATTCAGATCTTGATATATATCTTAATATTTAGATGTGTATTCAGATTCAAATGTCTTAATCTTAGTGCACATCTTGATATTCAGATGTGTATTCATATTCGGACGTCTTAATATTGAAAAAAAAAAGAAAGAATGAGGTCTTTTAAGAAACAACAAAGTCACTGAACTATGCCTTTGCACTCAGAAGGTCACTCAACTAGATTTTTCAAATTTTTGATTGTCAAATACCTATTTTACCCTCTAAATTATAAACATTTATCTTCTTTTTATTTTTTAAAAACTTTTTAGTATTAACAACAGAAATTCAAAAATTTATTTACACAATTCAGAATGAAAGAAAATAAAGGTTGTAAAATATATATCTCATGCACATAATATAAAAATAATTATTTAAATAAAGGTATTTTTATAATATACATTATATATTCTTGTAAATTATGCTCAATTATATTATATATATTTCATGCACAACTTAACATAACATATTTTACCCTATACAGATAGTCCCCTGCTTTCCGATGACTTAACTTTGTGCCGTCGGAAAGTTGGTAAAAACATAATAATTAATTGAGCACAATTTTCAATAATATATAAAGTATATTATAAAAATATCTTTATTTAAATAATTATTTTTATACTACGTGCATGAAATATATATTTTACAACCTTTATTTTCTTTCATTCTGAATTGTGTAACTTTTTTTTTTAATTTTTGTTGTTAATACTAAAGTTATTATTACTAACAAATTATTCTAATTAATTTTTTTACAATGCTCATTATTTTTTTATTCCAGCATTATATATGCGTAATACTTTTTATTTTACAATTTATAAATAATATTTATTTATTCTATAGCTAAGTCCATAACGTAAATTAAAAAGGGAAAACTCATTATAT